TACCCTTATCTCATACTTTTTCTGTCAGGCCACTGACTCGCGCATTAACAATGCTACAGCTGTGCTGCGGGGCTTGCTGTATATGCTCGTGGACCAGCAACCATCACTTGTAGTTCATGTTCGCAAGAAGCACGATCGCGCAGGCAAGAGCTTATTCGAGGACACAAATGCCTAGGTCGCCTTGACTGAGATCTTCGCCGACGTATTGCGAGATGCAAGCCTAAGTGCGACGTACCTAATTATTAACGCCCTCGATGAATGCGTAACAGACTTAGCAAAGCTGCTTACTTTTATTGCGAAGCAGTCGTCTGCATCCTCTCGCGTCAAGTGGATCGTATCTAGTCGCAACTGGCCAGTTATCGAGGAACAACTCCAGCGTGCAGAATACGAGACAAGGCTAAGCCTTGAGCTAAACGCAGAGTCAGTCGCCGCGGCAGTTGATATCTTCATCCAGCAAAAGGTAGACCAGTTAGCGCAGGAGAAACAGTACAAAGAGGAACTTCAACACGCTGTGCTCCAGCACTTTAGGTCAAATGCGAACGACACCTTCCTCTAGGTCGCGTTAGTGTGCCAAGAGCTCAAAAAGACGCCGAAGCGGAACGTGCTAAAGAAGCTAGCGTTATTCCCACCTGGATTGGGCGACTTGTACAAGCGGATGATGCAGCAGATGAGCGAGTCTGACGACGCTGACGTCTGTCGCTGCGTGCTGGCTTTGACTGCTGTCCTGTATCGACCTGTCACAGTCGCTGAGCTGATTCTGCTCACTGAACAGCTTGCAAACTTTGCTGACGAGTCTGTGCGGGAGATAATTAATCTCTACGGATCGTTCCTGACGCTGCGCGATGACACAGTCTACTTTGTGCATCAGTCAGCTAAGGACTTCCTTGTCACGAACGCGTCGGACAAGGTCTTTCTAGACGGTAAAGAACATGTGCATCAAGACATTTTTGCGAAGTCACTTACTGTCCTACACAAGACACTGCGCAGAGATATATACAACCTTCAAGCTCCTGGATATCCTATAGAAGATATCAAGCCGCCTGTTCCTGATCCTCTAGATGCGTTGTTCTACTCATGCGTGTACTGGGTTGACCACTTCTGTGACTCAAAACACAGAACACTAGCACATAGTGCTACTACTCAAGAAAACACTAAGGCGATCGATGCATTTCTTAGCTAGAGATATCTCTATTGGCTAGAAGCGCTCAGCTTATACAGAAGCATGGCCAAAGGGGTAGTCTCGATGACAAGGCTATGGGATCTAGTCCAGGTACGGCTAATACGACTACATCTATATACGGACTTCACGGTGTAGTTACTAACGTGGCTAGAGACTTCGAAACACAGACGCATTGAACAGGATCGTGTACGACGCACGGCGATTCATTATGTATCACAAAGAGGCAATCGGGAACTTTCCTTTACAAGCATACGTATCTGCGCTTTTATTTAGTCCAGCAGACAGCTTAATAAGAAGGCTGTTTCAGCATAAAAGGCCAAGGGGGTTAGCCGTCAAGCCAACTATGAGCAACGGCTGGAGTGCGTGCCTGCAGACGCTCGAGGGCCATAGCGGTAGTGTTTGGTCGGTGGCCTTCTCGCACGACTCGACCTGGCTAGCATCAGCATCAGCCGACAGCACTGTCAAGATCTGGGACACAAGCAGCGGGACGTGTATGCACACGCTCGAGGGCCATCGCGGTTATGTTTGGTCGGTGGCCTTTTCACACGACTCGACCTGGCTAGCATCAGCGTCAGCCGACAGCACTATCAAGATCTGGGACACAAGCAGCGGGACGTGTGTGCACACGCTCGAGGGCCATAGCAGTTTAGTTAGATCGGTGGCCTTTTCGCACGACTCGACCTGGCTAGCGTCAGCGTCAGACGACAGCACTGTCAAGATCTGGGACGCGAGCAACGGCCGGAGTGCGTGCCTACAGACGCTCAAGAGCCACAGCAGTTTAGTTAGGTCGGTGGCCTTCTCGCAGGACTCGACCCGACTAGCGTCAGCGTCAGACGACAGA